CCCCGACACGAGGCCCCGCCTCTTATGTAAGCCCCGCCCCGTAGAGGGCGGTTCCGGTGCCTCTGCGCCCCGCCCCCGCCGGCTGACCAATGGGCGCCCTCAGTTTCGGCGGCGGACTGGCCGCTTGCTGGACTCCTTCCGGCCGCGGGACAAGTACCAAGTTCGGCCGACGGGAAGGGTCCCGGTCTCGGGGTACAGTTCGGTGGGTGTTAGAGGAGTTGCAGAGGGTGCAGCCATCACCACAGTCCATCCCAGCGAATTCCCCTGCCACGCGACCCAGACTGGCATCCTCGGAGCGCCTGAGTCCTGGGGCCACCCCGCGAGCCAAAACCTGACTACAGCCTGCTCATGATCTCTGGCTTCCATCCCGGCTTGGCAGTGAGCAGGCCTGTAATCCCAGCACTCCGGGAGGCCGAGGCAGGAGGGTCCCAAGATCAAGCCCGGCCCGAGCAATTTAGCGAGAACTTGTCTCAAAAAAATAAAAATCTGGCTTCTCTCTGTTTCAAACAGAATCCACACCTCAGGGGAAACCCCGACTCCCACCTCGGCAACCCCCACCTCCCAGAGCCGGCCCCGGGGCTCGTCCCTCTCCCTCTCGCCAAGGCAGAGCCCTAGAACTCCCCCGGCCCAGTCCCTGACCTGGTCCAGTTCCGATTCCAAGTCCCATCCTCTTGAGAGCCAGCGCGGCCCCGCGTGAACCTCCGCCGCCGCACCGCCGTGGGAATCAATCACTGCCTTGGGAGGGAAGCGCCACCGGCACCGCTCGTCCATGCTCACCCTGCAGTCTGAGGGCCCAGCAAGCAGGGTCCCTACCACTGAGCTAAACCCCCAGCCCAGGAAATGTTTCTAGGGCTGCAACCCAGGGCCACGTCAAGCCTGCTCCTACCGCCGAGTTCCCCCGCAGGATGACGCGCATTTGTAAGGCTCCACACCTTCCTTTCTGTGGAACACAGGCAACCTAATCCGTACAAATAAGTAAAACTTGAAACTGACTCTGGTGTAAACAAAGCCCCTACGCCAGGGATTTTGTGATCAGCTGAAATTTCTAACCCGCATTTACATAGCTGATCTCCTAAACTAGGCATCCTAGTGCTGTGCCGCAATGAGAATGTGCATTTGGCACTCTTTAAACATGTGGATTGTTATATGAATAAATGAAGTGCACACAAGCCTGGCAAGAATTTCCTATAAAAATAAGGCATTTCATTTATTAAAGAATGACAGAGGTGCACAGGCCGGCAACAGACCGCTGGAGCAGGAGCAGGAGCAGGAGCAGAAGGTCTCGGAGAGGCTTAGTGGGGGAAGGCAGCTCAACGCCAGGCTCTGCACAAACGCGCCCAGGGGCTACTCAGGAACACGGCCAGCGAGAGGAGGGTGACCATCAGCAGGCCCTTGGCCACACACTGCGAATAAGGTTCCCCTGAAAACAATGATAAATGCTGAGTAGTATTTCTTAACTTCGGATCTTTTTCTGAGACATACTCACTAAAATAGTTGTTAAAAATAATTATTAGAAAAATGTGGTGCACGCCTGTAATCCCAGAACTTGGGAATCTGAGGCAGTAAGAGTGCTAGAGTTCCAGGCCAGTCTGAACTACACAGCAAAACCCTGTCTCAAAAAAACAAAGAAGAAATGAAATAAAATAAATGTAGCTGACATAGCCTAATTGCAGAAGTCAACGTACCACAGTGGCACAGGCCTGTGATCCCAGCATTCAGGAGGCTGAGGCAGGAGGATCATCAAGAGTTTGAGGACAGTTGGGGATTTAGCTCAGCGGTGCCGCCCCCTGCCTCAAAAGCACAAGGTCCCAAGTTCTATCCCCAGGACAGCCTGCGAGGGTCTACAAAGCAAGAACCTGGTCTCAAAAGAGAAAGAAAGAAATTGGGTTTTACCAACCTTGATAATACCAGGTCAATGGATAGAGAAGTTGCGGCCAACACACATCGTTTCTGTTGCAGTCATACTCTGTGAAATTGATCTGGAATCTGCAAAACATTTTCTCAGCTCACAATAGCTATAAGGAGTAAAAGCCACAGAGGGAGCGCAGTGGAAGGAGACTGGGTCTGCATCTGCCTGTTTTCTCGGTGCCTACCACATCAGCAACTGCATTACCTGGTCAGGGCCCGGGGCAGCTGGGCAGGGATCTTGATAAACCGGACGGAGGCACTGAGCAGGAAGAAGTCACTTGTATCTTGGCACGCCAGCCCGCACTGGTACTGCCAGTCCACGGCAGAGAACCTAGGGTCGGGGAGAGCGCCCCAGCCCTGAGGACCGCTGACGTCCCCTACTGGAGACAGCGGAGCACAGCCACATTGCAAAACTCTTCAAATACGGACACAAGGAGAAAGAATCCAATGAATGCTCCCAGCCATCTCATTTTATAGAGGTGGGATTTTTTTGTTTGGTGTTTTTTCTTTCCTCTGTTATTTCTGAGACAAGATCTTCCTATGTAGCTCATGCTAACCTCCAACTCATGGCGATCCTTCTGCCTCAGCCTCCTAAATGCTGAGATTACATGTGTGAGCCACCATGCCCAGAACAGGAGCTCCCTTCTCCTTTCTTTAGGGACCTGGATCCCAACTTCCCCAACCACTGTTCCCAGCTCTCACTTCAGTGGAGCAGAAGGTTCCAGCCTGAATCACCTGCGCTGGGCCAGTCAGACCTGACCACCTCTCCAGCTGTGGTGATTGGTTCAGAAAGGAGTACGAACAGGAGCAAACTGAACCAATAAAACTCTGCCTGGATCTTTTCTCTTCCATGGGATTGGCATTGCCATCTCTGGAGGAGGAGTTCCCAGAGAAGGAAGCCAACCCAAAGGAAAGAAGCTGAGAGATGAAGGGGAAAAATATTCCTGGCCCCATGGGACCCAGGACCCAGGAACTAGCTGTGGGGGAACCTTTCCACTCTCTGCTTAATGGGACTCTGTCACTTCACACAGAGGCCTGCTAAATGAGGGTGTGGTCACCAGTGGGAGCCCAGAAGACACAGTGACCGCCCAGGCCTCTGGCAGAGCAGGAATGGGCCAGCAGGACTGCTGCAGCCATACCCACGGTGTGCCCTCTGGCCAGGGCGCCAACTGCAGGAGCTGGCAGAGCCTCGACACAGAGCTCTCTAAGTGCCTGGGGGGACGGGTGTCCCGATAAACACAGTCCACGCATTACCACTGCTGACAGACGGGAGCCCAGCCTCGCACCCTCACGTCCCGACTCCTCCACACTGCATGGATCCCCCGCAGCCACACCTGGTCTCCACGCCAAGGATCTCCTGCTGCATGATGCCCTCCACTGCGCCGGCGTCCGCGAAGAGGATACGGATGTGCAGCTGGGAAGGAACAGCCGGGCAGACGCCAAGGGCGCCACTGGCAGTCGGGTCCACACTGCTGTTGGGGGCAGCTACGCCTAGTGGGACAGTTAACCACTTAGGGTTCTGTTTTGTTTTTGAAACTATATAGTACAGGCTGGCCCTTAACTCACTGCATAGCCCAGGCTGACCTCAAACTTGCAGCTATCCTCCTGCCTCAGCCTCCCCAGGGCTGGGATTACAAGTCTGCTCCATCAGCCCCAAGTCCAGGTACACAGTTTTGAAAGAATAACGGTTTTCCTGTAATGTCATGGTATCACACAAGGGGGAAGTAATAGACAGGAATCCCACAGGGAGCCCCTCATCTCTACGAGGCTCTAGATGTCTCTGCCTGTGAGACTCCGAAGTCCTCAAGGCACAGGCAAATGTTTCCTTATACAGAAAAGCAGTTGCTGAAATTTCCAAAGTCCTGAACCACATAATAAAACCATCAATCAGGGTTCTATTTCCAAGCCGCCTACTGAAATCCAGCCAGCCTTTTAGCAGAGGCGTCCTGAGTTACTTCAGCAGTCACAGTTCTAGTGATAGAAGGCCCTGAAAACAACTCCCTGCACAGGAGCTCTTGGAGGGTGAAGAGTAACTTCCTGAGGGGACTGGGAGGTGGGTGAGGGGAGCGGGAGGGAAGGGAAGCGGGGGAAACAGAATGGAATGCGTCACACGTGCGCCTGCTCCCCAGACGGATGCGACCGCTGTGTACACAGACAAGGACTGGCACAAAGTTTACAGAGCAGTTTCCTAGTGTGTTGCCATGGCAGCAGCGCACATGCAAGAGAACAGGAGTGAGTGAGGGATGCATTTCTGCCCATCTGGAAGAGTGGAGCTGGGGAGATCAGCGGTGACGGGAAGTGGGCGGCAGGCCCCAGGGGGGCCTCCGGAGACTGTGGCTGACACTGTCCCTGGGACACCCGACTGCCCCTCCCTGATACTTGGCTTCCGCTTCTTTGCCAGGATCCGGCTTGCATGTCCAGCTTGACCTGGCAGAGCTTCTCCCCGACAGAAGTGGTGCCACTGCTCTGATTTCAGTCACCCAAGAAGCTGGGCTCTCTGCGAACTCCTGCATTTCTTACTTCTCAGGTGCTTTTTAAATTTTGTTTCTGTTTGTTTTGCTTTGTTAACATCGGGTCTCACTATGTAGCTCATGCTGGCCTTGAACTCACTATGTATCTCCCTAAGCAATCCTCCTGTCTCAGCCTCCTGAGTGCTGGGTTTACAGGCATGTGCCATCCTCAGGTGCTTTGATCACATCCTTCCCTAGACTTCTTTGTGTATTTCTTCTCTAAACTTGTAAAAAGTGGCTGGATGTGGTGGCTCACACCTGTAATCCCAACACTTGTGAGGCTGAGGCAAAAGGGTTGCCATGAGTTCCAGGCTAGCATGGGCTACACAGTGAGCGCAAGGTCAGCCTGCACAACAAAACAAGACTCTTATCTCAAAAAAATTATACACACACACACACACACACACACACACACACACACACACACGGTGGTGCACTCCTGTATTCCCAGCACTTAGGAGACTGAGGCAGGAGGATCTTGGTGAGTTTGAAGCTAGTCTGGGCTACATAGAGAGGCCCTGTCTCAAAGAAAAGAAAAAAATAGCAAAGAGGGCAGATGTGGTAGTGCACACCTGTAACACCACTACCTGGGAGAACGAGGTAGGAAGATCCAATATTTGAGGCCAGCCGGGGCTGCAAAGCCAGTTCCAGGCCGGCACAGACCATATAGTTAAGCCATGCCTTGAACAAATAAGTACATAACAGCATGAGCATGGGTGAAAGACGTAAAGGGCTTCCTGCCTGGAGAGGTGACCTCAGTTGTCCAGTTAGGCCAGCAAGAAAAGGGGCCTCATGCAGCAGGCACTAACGCAGGCCACTGCGGTCACAGCCCTGATCTGCCACCCCATGGATGCAGCGCGACTCACGCAGGACTTTCAGCCAGCCGTCGCTCAGGTCTCGGGGATCAGAGTTGCCTCTCGCTGAGACATGCGTGGCTCCTATCAGTGAACCCAGTTTTTCAGCCACGCTCTCCCTGCAAGACGATGGGGCACAGCTCAGCCCAGTCAGCAGGTCCATCTGGACCCCCTTATCCCTGCCTGCTGCCCCAGTGCCAGCAAAACTGGAACTGAACCCAGCTGGGAGCCCTGCTTCTGCCCGGCCTCCCCACGGAGCTGCGCCTGGAAAGCTAGGGAAGGGCGTGCAGCAGCAGCCTGCTTCACGCTGGGCTTAGAATACCGCTAACCTATGCCCAGTGTGGGGAAGCGCATCTGTCATCCCAACACTCAGGAGGCTGAGGCAGGAGGATCGCTGTGAGTTCAAATAATGAGACCCTGCCTCCCACAGAATAAAACAGAGAGCTGGGGATTTAGCTCAGTGGTTCTGCTGGTTCTCAGTGGCTCAAACTGTCCTGAGTTTGATCCCCAATACCAAACAAACAAACAAAGAATAAAACAACAGAAAAGCAAATAATCTGCCGTCCAAGGCAGGGGGGAGGAGGAAACAAGGGAGCAACTATTTAAACAGGATAGGTTTCCCTCTCTTGGTGATGGAAATGTTTGGCACTAGATAAAGGTGGTGATTATACAACATAATGAAAAGTACTAAATAGCACTAAACTGCTGTAGCCGAGGCTGATCTTGAACTCACAGTGATCCTCCTGCCTCAGCCTCCCGAGTGCTAGGATTACAGGTGTGCGCCACCACTCCCGGTTCTTGCTCACTTTAAAGTGACTAATTAAGTAGGCTGGGAACTTAACTGTCACCGCGCCTGCCTCACAAGCACAAGGCCCTGAGTTTGATCCCCAGTACTGAAAAAAAATAAAGTGACTAATTATTTTAATTTCACCTCAATTAAGAAAAAAGAATGTGTATTCATATATGTAAATATATTTTCCAAATGCTACCTAAATGAACTGGAACGTTTTTTGTTCATTTGCTTCTTGAGACAGGGTTTTACTATGCACTTCAAGCTTGCCTTGAACTCACTATGGGAGCCCAGGCTGAGCTTGAATTTGAAGTGATCCTCCTGCCTCAGCCTCCTGAGTGCTAGGACCACAGGCACGCACCGCAATGCCCAGCACTTTTTTATAGTTCTCAGAACAGAAGGTCACAATGGCCTGGCAAACTGCAGCAGAGCTGCACTTAAATAGGTTTGGAAGGGACTTGGTCCCCAGATCGTGCCGTCTTCCCTGACATGTTTTTTGGTACTGGGGATCGAATTTGGGTCCTTGCACTTGCGAGGCAGGCAGCAGAACCACTGAGCTAAATCCCTGGCCCTCATTCATTGTTCTTGATCACTTCTGTCCTAGTTGCAATCTGCTGCCCCCACAGATACATGCTGTCTTTGGTGTTAAGCCCAGCATGCACGGTGCAGGCCAGCTCCTCACGCACCTGAGCTGAGTGCAGTTTTCGCCGATCCCAACTTCCAAAAGACACCCAGACTGCACGTTCTCGCCAAATAAAACAGGTCTGAAAGTTGCTGAGGTGCACAAACTCCTTCCAGCTAGAAAAAAAAAAGATGGCCCTCCTCAATGTTTCTGCTGAACAGAAGTAAAAATGTGGCTGGACAAGGCAGTGCAGGCCTATAATCCTAGCCACTATGGGAAGCTGAGGCAGGAAGATCACAGAGTCAAGCCTGGACAACTTAGTCACTCAGTTAGACCCTGTCTCAAAATAAAAGAATAAAACAGGGGCTGAGGGGGGAGCTTAGTACACAGAACCTGGGTCCAATCCCCAGGATCAGAAAAAAAAATTAGTGAATTGATTAAAATAAAATAAAAATGTACATCAAGATTTTTCATGAAGAACAGGGAGAAAACAACAAAGTTTGCAGTTTTCAAAAACTCAGATTATTGTTACTCAAATCCTTTTCAAGCCAAACCCAAGCACCGCGTGTGTCAGAGTCGCTGGTCCCATCACAGGCTCACTCTGAACAGGAAGTCAGGTGCCCGGGCAGATGGCGCTCAGACCCCGGCTGCAGGGAGCGGAGCGCATGTCCGGCCAGCACCATGGTGAAGCACAGGCCGTGCCCATCTCAGACCACTCGTCGCTCACACAGAACCAGCGCTGCGGTGCAAGCAATGTTAACAGCCCCTCAAAAACAAGCTAAGCCGGGCATAGTGGCACACACCTGTGATGCCAACACTCAGGAGGCTGAGGCAGGAGGATCACCACAAGTTCAAGGCCAGCCTGAGCTACACCCCGAACTGCATAGCAGGGCTCTGTCTCCAAAAAAAAAGAAGAAGAAGAATGAACCAATGGGGCTTTAACTGATTCCTTGACGAATATGCTTCTAACTCTAGTCTAATCCTGACGGCCAACGCGGATTACCTGACTGCCAAACACGGAGAGTCGTGGTGTTGCTCGCAGCGTCGGTGTTCAGGGCTCGGACCAGCCTGTGGAGCTGGTAACCTGGAAAACACAAGGAACACGCACAGCGCCTTTCCTGACCCACTCCAGGTCGCAAGGGCTGCAGCAGCCAAGTCCCACAGGAGACGGCAGCGCAGCGACAGGCAGGGCACTGGAAGCCTTCCCAGATGCCCTTAGAGGCAAGGGGAAGGAGAAAAGAGAGCTGGGACGAGCTATGTACTCGGACCAACTCACTACACCAAATGTAATCCTGTACCGCAAACGTGTACCCAAAAAATTCATAATTAAAAAAAAGAAAAAGAAGAAACACCAGAGAGAATGTTAGCACCTTCGTTATTTTCTAGTTTTTTGTTTTTGTTGTTTTTTGGTTTTGGTTTTTTGACACAGGGTCTCACTATGTAGTTGAGACTGATCTGGAACTCACTATGTAGCCCAGGCTGGTCTCGAACTCACAGCGATCCTCCTGCCTCAGCCTCCCGAGTGCTGGAATTACAGGAATGTGCCACAACACCTGGCTTTTGCTTTCTTTTTAACAGAAATTTTGTGTTTATTCTTTGGTTGATTTACCCAAGATGGCCTTGAACTCACAGCAATCCTCCTGCCTCAGCCTTCCCAGTACACCATCAGTATTTAGCCATAAAGATGTCACATATATCAGAAGCATGAAAAGGTACATGGTTTTTCTGTTTGGTTGGGCTTCGGAGAGGGGCTGAGACAGGGTCTCGCTATATATATGGTTTAGGCTGGCCTTGAACTTGATATCTAGCTAAGCTTGGCCTCATACAGTGATCCTCGTACCTCAGCCTCGCAAGTGCTGGGATCACAGGCCTGCAACCCCATGCCCGGCTAATATATTGTTTCTGCAGGACCTTTTGGAACTATGCTTCAGACTTTACAATATCTCATCTAAGATCTCCATCCTACAGCTCCTCAATTAAGGCTGTTCCCCTGCTTAGCCACACATGATGGTTGACTGCAATGTCCACTTAGTAAGAGAGCCCAGTTCTGGGTGTGGATGGGGCGGCACCAACCAATCAGCTTGCAGCACGGAGGGACTGAAAGGGGGAAGAGGGAAGCCCGGCCTGCTCCTTCCATCCGCCCTTGGGCCGCCTCCAGGAGGACAGCCACTCCAACTCGCTCACTGCCCAGCTCCAGTGGTCAGCGTGGCTCCTTTGCGCCAGACCGTGTGGCTCAATGTAGGCTCTCAGGACGCGTGGCCACGACCCCAGCCCTCATTTATTAATGATCCCAGCTTGTTTCCTATCAGTTCCCATCACCTGGTGCTGACCTGCCAGGTAAGACAGCTAATTCCCTGAAGGGGAATCCATGGTCCTTGGTCCACAGTACACCTGCAATACTGTCTTTCAAACCACAAATGTGATTTTCAAATATTTAATCTTTTAGAAATTTTTTACTAACTAAAGTTTTCCAGCTGGGGGGCCAGCAGCACTAGCACCTGTGCCTGCCGTGCACAAAGCCTTGGCTCAGTCCCCAGGGGCAGGGGGCTGGGGAGACAGCACACATTTTCAGGGGCCCAGCTACTTGGGAAGCTGAGGCAGGAGGATCTCTTGAGATCAGCCTGAACATCATAGCAAGATTCACATTTCAAAGAAATGTTTTGAAAAAAGAAAATAAATGAAATAAATTTAGATACTATGTCTTATTTAACATGTGGTTTACAATCTACCTGAAACCTTATCGTTTCCAAACTGCCACCTTTGGGGGGCGTGACAGCCATCCGTGGCGTGGGGCCACACTGGACAGCGTAGTTCCTGCGCCGTGACAGGCACCCAGGAGCCAGTGAAAGGGCATGAAGCAAACAACATGGGATGCATCAGAGTGAGACAGGTCTGCACACAAAGATCCAAAGCACAAGAGGCCAGGAGTCCGCGAGAGTCTCTGCCATCAGAGCTTATTCCTCTTGAGAAGCTAATTCTACCAACATCCTAAAGGCAGGGTCTCTTTCCAAAGACTGAGAGCTAAACAGGAAGAATTGTCATTTCCAGCAGCCTGTGACTATAGATGATGATTTATGTAAAGCAATTAAGTTGCTATCAGAAACGAATAAAGAAGCAGGTCTGGCCCAGGGTGGCGCACACCTGTGATCCCTGTACCCTAGGAGGCTGAGGCAGGAAAATGGAAAGTTCAAGATCAGCCTGGGTAGGGCCAAGGGATTTGGTTCAGTGGTGCCGCCACCTGCCTCACAAGCTCAAGGACCCGAGTTCAATCCCTAGTACCAGGAAAAAAAAAAAAAAAAAAGACAGCCTGGGCACCTTAGTGACTTAGCAAGACTTTATCTCAAAAGAAAACATTAAAAAAGAACTGGTGAATCACTTCTCGGCCTTTTGGCTAAGATGGAGTGTGAAAAAGGCCTGGGGATGAAGCTCGGTGAAAGGGTCTGGGTTCACTCCCCAGCATCTCAAAGAGGAAAAACATAAAAAGAAAAAGAAACCAGTCAGCAGAACAAACTAAGCTGGGGAGAGTTTCTTACAGGCGTGGCACTGCTGGAGTGCCACACTAGCAGGTCTGCAGGACGCGCGACACACAGAGTCGTCTACCTGGGTTTCCGGACAACTGCTGCTCGTCACCACTGTTACGGTTTAGGAACTTCACTGTGAATCTCTGTGTGAGTGTTCCTAGAAATAAGCCAAAGCGAAGATGGAATCAGAAACACACACAAGAAACAAAGCTGACTTCACTGCACGTGTTTGTTATGATTGAGGCACAGGAACGCTCGCTCCGGCGGAGCCCCTCATCGCCCTCTCACCGCTACCTGTCTGGTGGGCACTGATTTCCGCCCTCACGATTCTGACGCTGATTTCAGTGACCGTGTTGTTGTCCCACCTGAAAACATAATGTTCTTCCACGGTCACGGTCATGTTTCTGGGCACCGAGGGGCTGCTTGGCAGTGTTTCTGCAAATACAAGGAAACTGTCATCAGCAGGGTGTGGTGGCTCAGGGGGCTGAGGCAGGAGGACTGCTATGAGTTTGAGGTCGGCCTGAACTACATAGCAAGACCTTGCCGCAAAAACAAAAAGGAAAAGAAAACTCTCGTCACTCACAGGCCCATCCGTGGGTGGCTCTCCCAGCCTGCAAGGTCCCCTTGTCCCTCTTCTGTCCCACCCCTGGTTCCCTCGTCCCGAGTCAGCACTCGCTATGTCCCCTGTCCCGTGACAGCACACATCTGTCGCTCTGCTGTTCCTCCCACACCCACAGCACCCAGCTCCTGGAGACCCTTGGAAAAGGGTGGCAAGATTGTGACATCGAAGACTGCGTCTCATCCTGGTCCGCCCAGGCCTCCAGGGGTTCACACAGCAGGCAGGGAGGGACGAGGAACAAGGACACAGCACGGAGATCGGGAGCCCTGGAGACCTCCGGGGGCCTCAGGGAAAGTGTGGGCTGCTGTGAGGCTGATGATGCGAGGGAAATGACCCAGGTCTTCGGAGCGAGGCCATCGAAGAGTGACATTAATACCTGTGGCACTGAGGAACCTGTCCGGGTCAGCTGCTTCCTCGTAGGTCACCGTGGGCAAAACTGTGGCTAAAGAGACACACAGATCAACACCGCAGGGCCACGCGGTCTGCGCGAGCTCTTTACCCACTCAAAGGGACACTGCTCCCCTACACAGGTGACCACACCCACCCTGCGCCAGCTGCAGTCACCCCCTCCAAGCACCCTCAGACACCAGGCCTCCGCTTGTTTTTGTTGTTTTGTTTTTTGAGACAAGGACTCACTATGTAGCCCAGGCCGGCCTCAAACTCAAGATCCTCCTGGCTCAGCCTCCCAAGTGCTGGGATTACAAGCCTGTGGCACCATAAAAATCCTAGGGTTTTGGGGGTTTGGTTTGGGTTTTTTGCAGTACTGGGGGTCGGACTCAGGATCTCGCACACGAGAGGCGAGGGCTCTGCCACTGAGCTCCACCGCAGCCCAAGGTCCCTCTCCTCTTAGCACTAATTGGTAATGGTGGAGGAGAATCTCCAAAGTCAGTGGAAACTTCCAGGGCATCTCCCCCACATTCACACAGACACCTGTGTTCGCAACAGCCACGCTCAAAACCGAGACATGGACAGAGCCCAACTCCCCCCGGCTAGCGGCCAGCCAGGCGGGATGTAGTTGCTCCACGCAGTGGAACATTATTCACCTGTGAGGAGAAAGCTGCCGTGGCCCAGGCTGCATTGTGGAGAGCAAACACTGAGTGACAGAAACCAGACACAAAGGGCCACAAACTGAACGACATGTTCACGTGAAACGCCCGGCACAGGGACACAAATGGAGCGAGCTGGCGGGGTCGGGGGCAAGGTGAACGGCGAGCAGTCGCCCTGTGGACGCGGCACAGGCCTCCTTGGAAGCAGACAGAGGAGGAAGTTACCACAGCGCTGCGAATGCACTAGATGCCGCTAGGTTATAAACTTTAATTCTTGAGCTGGGGATTGAGCTCGGTGGCGGAGCGCCTGCTTGGTAAGTGCACAGTCCTGAGTTCGAAAAAATTTTTTCTTTTTTTGCTACCGGAGATCAAACTCAGGGCCTTGAGCTTGCAAGGCAGGTGGCGGCACCACTGAGCTAAGTCCTTGTGCCCCCACAAAATTTTTTTTAAACATCAATTCTGGGATATGAACATCTTGATTTAAAAAAAAAAATAGCCAGGCATAGCAGTGGATGCTTGTAATCCTGGTCCTATGGGAGGATGAGGCAGGAGAATGCAAGTTAGAACTCAGCCTGAGTAGCTCAGCAATTCAGCAAGACCTGGTTTCAAAATTTTGAGGACTGGAATGGAGTTCAGTGCAGACACACTGCTTTAAGATGATCCAGGAGAAGCATCTGGATTCTCATGAGCTCACCTGTTATCCCCACCCACAGACACGGCAAACAACAGCCCTGACACAGGCACCCCTGACACACAGCAACCCCAAAACACAGCTCCCCTGACACAGCACTCTTGACACACAGTACACAGTACTCCTGACGCACACCACCCCTGACACAGGCACCCCTGACCCACAGCACCCCTCACTCACGGCACCCCTCACACACGGTACCTCCTGCAGTGCCACCCTCCACCTCCGCGATGCCCTTGCCCCGCTCTCGGTGCGCCTGCAGGTTGGTGGCACACTCCGAGTCAAAGTCCCGCAGGAAGGCCACGGGGGCGTCGTGCAGACACTGCCCGGCTAGCGACACCTAGGGTTTGGGACACAGCTTCTCATAGCAACAAACAGGTCGGCGTCTCCGAAAACCCTCTTTCCGCTCCGCCCTGTCACAGGCTCCGGCCCAGCTGCCGGGCTGCAGGGAGGCAGGCTCAACACCCACCAGGAGGAAGCCCGGAGGTCACAGGTATTTCCAGGAAACAAGGGCACCCCTCCCTCACTGCTCAGGCTTTGCTTTCCAAACACTTACTTACATTCGATTGCATTTTCTCTTCTTCATCATAATTCACTTTTTTCCAGGTCCTGGGACTCAAACCCAGAGCCCTACACATGCCAGGCATGGGTTCTATTCCAAACCCCAGATGTCTTTTTCTTTTTTTCTTTTTTTTTTTTTTGAGACAGGGTCTCATTCTGTAGTCCAGGCTGTCCTGGACATGGTGATCCTCCTGCCTCAGCCACACCTATAATCCCAGCACTCAGGAGGCTGAGGCAGGAGGAATTAGAGGGAATTCAAGTCCAACCTGGACTATGCAGTGAGACTTGGTTAAAAAAAAAAAAAAACTTAAAAAAGAAAAGAAACTGGCAATTAAACCAACAGAAGTAAAGAATAATCATAATTTCCGTGAAACTTTAAGACAATCATTTGGTCTTTATATTTCAGGTTTATGTTGAGATTTAGCAAAGACAGTGATTAAGTTTAAAGTGACTTTTTTTTTTAATCCAAAAACCATGAGCAGTTAAATCCCTGGAAAATCCACAAGTCATTTGGACAGAAATCTTCCAGAGAAAGATGAGTTACGTTACCAACAGGGGAGGGGGATAACAGCAGTGTCTGGCACATTCGAATTCAAGTCCTTACCTGCGGCACAGTGAAATACCCCTCCCTCTCCGTGGTCCTGATCGGGTCTCCCTGTTTGTAACCAGAGTCTGCAGAGAGTTTGGGGACAGCGTGCAGAAAGACTTCAAAGCCAGGCTGGTGTCTCGGGGAACTGCAATCCGCAGAAAAGACCATCACTACCGCTACCAGTGCTAAAGCACCGCTGTTGCTTTACATTTTTCTTTATTTTTGTTTTATTTCATTGGGACAAAGTCTCACTACATAGTCCAGGCTGACCTCAAAATCACAATGATCTTCCTGTCTCGGCCTCCTGAGTGCTAGGATTATAGGTATCTGCCACGACCCACGGCTTTAATTATATAAAAAAAAGTACATGGTTGTTAATTTTTTTTGTTTGTTTGTTTTTGGTATCGGGGATTGAACTCGGGTCCTTGCGCTTGCAAGGCGGGCCAGCGAACCGCTGAGCTAAATCCCCGGCCCAATGGTTGTTAATTTTCAACAAAATAGTACTGAAAAATACAGAAAGTTGAGGTCCTTCGCAGGCCCACCACACCTTGCCCACCTGAGAAAAGCATTAGGACCACTCTGCAGGTTGGTTGACCGCCCCACTCTGCACTTGCTCACTGAAATCCAGAATCCACTTATGTGGGGGCCCAGGACACACACAGCCCAGCTGAGGGCCCGGGGACCGAGCCCTCCCAGGCGGCAGCTCCGACACTCACACAGCGCCGTGATAGAAGTGACCGAGGAAGGGCGAGTTGACAGGCGAGGACTGCACACACAGGAGCGGGGACCACTCGGGGACCGGGCCCGCTGTCCCCGCCGCGCACAGCTGGTCAAAGGGAGGGCTGACCTCACCCCCGAACACACCCGGGAGACAGGCGCCTCCGAACAGCTGCCTGGCACCTCTGGAGCAGTCCTGCAGAGCAGGGGAGAGAGACGGCGACAGGGGCTCGTCACTGCCAGCCCAGCCCGGCCTCAACCGCAGCCGTCATCCCACCTCGGGTCCACCACGCCCAGTAATCACAAAGGACCAACCTGGTCACAGCAGCAGCGGACATCGCAGGCCCTGGCTGTCAGGTTGCAAGGACAAGGCCCGAGGGGCTGATACACCTGGTTAGGGATGACTGTCGCATTCTCTGAAAAGTACACGAGAGGAAACCCAGCTACAGAACGAGCAACACAGCCCTGCATGTTGTTGACAGCCTGAAAGCAGACCGACCGCCACTACCAGTGCTCCCCGAAGGCACCATGAAATGAGCAGCGTGAAACTATGTAAACTGTGCGCCTACTACTCTGACAACAGAGACAGATCTAGATACTATTGCCAAAGGCCAAGACACAAGGGTCAGAGTTGATCTTTAAGATAATCAGCTGCATGGCGTGGTGGCGCACGCCTGTAATCCCAGCACTCAGGAGGCTGAGACAGGAGGCTGAGAGTTCGAGACCAGCCTGGGCTACACAGTGAGTTCCAGGTCAGTGTCAACTACACAGTGAGACCCTGTCTCAAAACAACAACAATAAAAAACAAAAACAAAAAAAGATAATTAGCTGGTTGAAAATTACAAGTTAGGGTTGGATATGGTGCACACCTGTCATCCCAGCACTGGGGAGGCTGAGGCAAGAGGATCACCATGAGTTCAAGGACAGCCTGGGATACAAGGCAAGACCCTGTCTCACAAAAAAAAAAAAAAAAAAAAAAAAAAAAAAAAAAAAAAAAAAAAAAAAAAAAAAGCAGGGACGAAGGAAAGTTCTGAATTCTACAGCTGCCATTAATCCCTCCTGTCATTTTCTAAGCATCTCTTAATCATATTTTTTTCATTAAGTTTACTGGTACTTTTAGGTACACAGTACAGTTACATTTTTCATTTGGATCTTGTACCGTACATGATGTATCTTGGTTCCTATTTTTTCCCTATTCCCTTGCCCTCCCTTCACCCCATATTTCTGTTTTTAATTTTAAGCATTAAAGAATTCCTTCTTCTGAAAAATATTTTTTAGATAGTTCATTGTTTTATTTTATTTTATTCATTATTTTATAAAGGGTAGAGCGCATGAGGCCCTGAATTTGGCCCCAGAACCAGAAAAGAAAAAAATGAGGTGAACTTACAGAATAATTTCTAAATTATATTATTTTTAGAAAGATGTAAAACAGTGAATCATGGGTTATTATTGTGTATATTTTTAAAAGAAAGGAGCACATGTTTCTGTGAGCCTTCTCCAAAGTCTGATGGTTTTTGAAAGCCTCACTCATAGGCCTTCCTTTCCTTAAAATGGAGCCACAGAAGCCAGGCATGGTGGTGCACATCTGTAATCCCAGCACTCCTGGAGGCTGAGGCAGGAGGGTTGCAAGTTTGAGCCCAGCCTGGGCAACTTAGTGACTTAGTGAGACACTGTCTCAAAATAAAAAAAATAAAAGGGATAGGGATGTGGCTCAGTGTGAAGGCCCTGGGTTCAATTGCTCATACCACAAAAAAAAAAAAAAAAAAAAAAAAACAGGAAAGAGAGAAAGAAACCACAGGTATCCATAGAGGATACCAATTTTTTCCTTTTCCCAAAAATGATTGAAAGTAGTTTACAAAAGTTACAAACAATAGAGCAAGATAAATCTTAATTAAATACAACAGTACAAAACAAAAACTCTTAAAATAAGACTAAACATAAGTTTAGGAAGGCAAGGCGGACTCACATGTAAGATCAATAGAGCAAATGTTTGGACAAGGACTTGACTTGCCTGACGCCTCCTGGGCCACAGAAGAGCTGGCGTAAATTTCCACCTGAATGAGGAGGTGCGCCAAGCAGGCCAGGCTGTGAGAGGCTGAAACCAGCAGAGTTTGGACGAGACACGGGGTGTCGGCGAAGGGCTCTGTCGTGTTAGGGACACACCGCCTGGGATACCTGTTCAGCCGCACCATCACCTCCAAAGCGTCCTGAGAGGAAAATGCTGCTGAACTTTCAGAGTTTGTGGACCCTCGAGTTACAATCAGCCTGCCCTACGAACAACTTGAGTTACGACTAGAATTTAGTTTTAACTGATGAGCAAAGTCCTGAGTTGTGACCTGAATGCCAGCTGCTTATGCTTCCAGAGTCTCAGATACAGATATAACCTTAATGGGCTGGGGATTTAGCTCAGTGGTTTTACCACCCGCCTCTGCCTCATAAGCACAAGGTCCTCAGTTTGATTTAAAAAAAAAAAAAAAAAAAAACAGCTGTACCCCTTAAAGAGCTCTGGAAGGAGCAAGGCAGCTTCCTCTCCTGTGCGGGGCTGACTGAGAAATCCTGGGCGAGTGTCTCTAAGAGCCCCGAGATCTGCCTGTGGACAGGAGTGAAGGCTGAGCCTTCAATGACCGACTTGACTTACAACCAGCCCCCGGCAACGAGTTGACTTCTTAACTCAAGGGTCCACTGTACCTCAAGAGAGCCTACAATTACCATTACACATAAAGGAAAACAAAAGGAATGCACATATTGTCCTTGGTTTATTCTATAAAGGAGAACTGTATACAACGATAACAGATTCTCTTCAATATCCCACCCCTAAACTAGGCTAATAGCCAGCTCTAGTCCCTAAAGCAAAAAAATGCTGGATACATAGAGAAAAAAAAAGATCTAATAAATTAACTTAATTTTTTTGGAAAATATTAATTTTTTACTTATTTTAGTGTTGGGCGCTGCCCTGTGAGCTGGCAGGAGTGCGGCCATCCTAAACTAAGTGGAACCATTTTAGAGTTAAGTTTCTGTTTCCTAAGACTGTAGTTCCTTATCTTTGTTACTGAGCCGTTATAATTGCCAAGGTTACTATTACCCATGATAGTTTATGGTTACGCCTATTTCATCTTATCTTATGCTAAGACATTTTGTGCTGCTCTGAAGTTTCTCAAACTTAACAACCTTCGAGTTTTTTGAGTCATCTGGTGTTTTATGACGTCCCGACTCTGTAGAAGCTTCCTAATGCTTGTTTTAGGTCAGATAAGGCTGTCATGGTATTATCATGTCCCCTCCTCTTAGGTTTGTGGGTTTTTGCTTTAAAAGTCTGATGCTTGCCTGCAATAAACGTCGCCTTGATCAGACTCCTGTCTTGGTTTCCTTCTTTCTCTCCGTGCTCCATCTCCACCCGATGCTCTTTCAGGTTTGAGCACCTAAGACAGTGCTCTGCGTCACCGGCTCACGACATTTTAGTTGTATTTATTCAGTGGTGCTAGGGATCAAACCCAGGGTCTCCCACATGCTAGGTGAGCACACGGTCACTGAGCTACAGCCCAGCTGTCAGTCTGGAACTTTTTTTTTTTTTTTTTTTGTACCAGAGATAGAATTTGGGAACACTTGCTTTTGAGGCAGGTGGCAGCAGCACCTCTGAGCTAAATCCCCAGCCCCTGTCTGGAATCTTTTAAAGTGTCTTTATCCTCCCACTAGCAGAAGTTTTTGTTTTTGTTTTTGAGACAAGGTCTTAAAAGCCCAGGCTGGCCTTGAACTCACAGTGATCCTCCTGCCTCTGCCTCCCAAGTGCTGGGATTACAGGTGTGCACCACCATGCCCAGCCCCTAGCCAAAGTTTAAATACACTAAAAAGTCAAAAACAATCCCAGAGGCCAGGGATGGAGCTCAGTGATGATGCACCTGTCTGGCAAGTGCAAGGTCCTGAGTTCAATCCCTGGTACACCACCACCACCACCACCACCACCACCACCATCCCACCCCCGCCGCCGCAGGCTTTGACATCTAGATGTCCTGGTTGCAGCTGTCTTCTCCAGCGGCTTATCTCCAGAGTCGATGCTGGGCACAATCTAGGTACTAAATGAGCCCTCGTTTAGTAGAAAACATTTACTCTCTCCAGGGTTACACATCCTGACACAGAAACTTGGAGTGGGGCTAGATCAGTGGCTATGAAGCTTTTTTGGACCCAGACCCATTTGACAATTTGACAGAAGCTGGAAGCCCTCTCATCAGAAAAGCACACATAGCCGGACATGGTGGCGCACGCCTGTAATCCCAGCACTTGGGAGGCTGAGGCAGGAGGATCGCTGTGAGTTCGAGACCAGCCTGGGCTACATAGGGAGTTCCAGATCAAAAAGCACACATAGCAGAGCATGATGGATCACACCTGTCACCCCCCCCAACTCTGGGAGACTGAAGCAGGAAAATCACAAGTTCAAGCCCAGCCTGGGCAACTTAGGATCTTAGCAAGACCCAGACTCAAAACTAAAATTTTAAAAAAGGGTTGGGGATGTAGCTCACTAGTAGAGCAATTGCATAGCCATGTGTGAAGTCCTGGAATTGATATCCAGGAGAGAGAGGGAAAGGGAGAGGGAAGAGGGAGAGAGAATCTCATGCACAATCTCATATGGTTCACAGACTCCTTGAGATGTGTCCAGAGACCACTGATCCTTGGTTCAGACTCCTGGGCTGGATATGTCTACAGTGACACCCAATTTTAGGGCAGTTTTTTTTGTTTTGTTTTGTTTTTTCTTTCAGGGCAGTTTTAAACACAGAGAAAGCTACCAGGGATCAAATCAAAAGTGTGCGTCGGAGACCTGATGCAGAGATCTGGAGTGACACCAGGTTTGCTTCTGTACTTACCACACTGGGGGTCAAAGTCACACTCCAAGCTCCTGTCTCATTGCTCAGCAGTCCACAAGTGGGAACCGGAAGTATGCCTAAGGGAGAGAAGATGAGATGCGAGATAGCACTGTCCAGCCAGGCCTGGTGGCACACTCTGTAATCCCAGTAATGGGGAAGCTGAGGCAGGACGATCACTGAGAGTTCGAGAAGCACGTGGGATAGCTCAATGAACAGTAGCCATTGTTAGTTCAAGCTCTTTGGTTTACACACACACACACACAACCTCCACCCCATCGCTACTTTGCTGAAGACTAGAAGGGTCCCAGGATATTCCCTACTGGAAGGGCGGCTCTTACCTGCCTCGATCTGCAGCGGGGCCAGGGACACGGTCACATTCTCTGTGTCTCCGACCAGGAATGCACTGACTTCAGGCCCGGACATTCGGATAAAGGGAGGGATGAAAACTAGGAGAAAAGGGAGAGGCGAGGAGGGGTTAGCCCGAAGTCTGTGCGGCAGCCTCTTCAGCTTTCGCGGTTTCCGGGTCCCCTCAACCTCGGCCCCCGCAGCTCCTGCAGTACACACCCAGGTCCCCCCGCAGCGGCCCCGTAAAGCTCAGTAGAAGGAGCCCCAGCAAGAGAAGAATCGGCGGCAGAAATCCCATGCCACCAACCGCGCGAGCCCTTGAAGTAGCAAAGGGCCTAGCAGGGAGAACCCGGGCGTCACCGCCCTGCGGCAGCCATCTTGGCAAGCAAACTCCCGCAACTATGGTAACTACCAATCGGCCGCCAGTCAGGCGAGAGAGGCGCTGTAATTGGTCCATAGCAAGAGACTCCGCCCCAAGCCCAGGCCGGAGCACCCCGGCCCCGCCCACCAGTCCCGGCCGGTTTTCTGCTGCTGAAGTCTTTAAAGGATGCTGAAAAAGTGGGAGGCGCTGTGCCACTCCAAAAGTGGAGCTTCTGACCGCCCTGGAACAGGCTGCTAGAGGGAGCCTGCAGATGCTGGCGTCCTAAAAATGGGGATAGGGCTTGCTGCTTTAGTAAACTCGGCTTTTATGGAGCTTTTCAGGGAATGTACGTAAGGGGGTGAGGCTACAGCGTTCTAACTGTATGGCGCTGTTGGGTTTGTATTCTCCCGGTTTTCTTGTTTTTGATTTTGTTTTTTAAGCTCTCACTAATCCAAAAATAGATTTAAAAAAAACCCTCAGGTAAGAACCATATGCATGCCTGTGGTCCCAGCTACTCAGGAGGCTGAGGCAGGAGGATTGCAAATTTGAGGTCACCCTGGACAATTTAAATGGGGCTACAAGTGTAGTTCGCAACAGAGCACTTGCCTAATATGTGCAAGACCCTGGCTTTGGGCTCCAATGCAAGGTGAGGGGCATATAAGGTTTGCCCCAGCAATAGGACAGGTGCAAAAGTGTACGAATTGTGTTTTCTTGCTTCAGTGCCTAGAGTTAAGGCTCTGAGGTGGGACAGTTGGGTCTAGGTCTCCACCTTCCCCCTAATCTACTCTACTCAGTGACTTTGGGCAAGCTGCTTCTCCATACATCAGTTCCTCTCTCTAAAAAGGAAATAGCTGGGTGTGGTGATGCACACCTGTAATTCCAGCACTTAGGAAGCTGAGGCAGGAGGATCTCCGAGAGTTTCAGGCCAGCCTGGGCTACACAGAGAGACCCTGATGGACCCCCCAACACGCAAAATTGATCAGGCATTCTAATGAAAGGTGAGGCTCTCCAAGACCTGTCACCAAATGCTGCTTTTCTTACATGTTTGCAAAACCATGGATTGCTGCAGTCAGAACATTGGCATGAAATTTCACCCTGTACCTCATCCTCTCTAAGAAACTGTGAAGTGTTGGCAACTCTTGGTATCTGGGAATGTAGGAGAACATCACTAAGGAAAGTTGTCATTTATTTATGTTTTTTTCCCTATCTGTCTTTGGGAAAACAAAACTACAAATTAACTAAAGCTTGTGAGGTAAATCCTCCTGAAAGAAAACACTTCTGTAAGTAACCGGGGCCTGTTCCCCCCTCCCCTCCACATCAACTCTGCACTATGAGTTCACGGATGCTGGGCGTGGTGATGCACACCTATAATCCCAGAACTCTAGGAGGCTGAGGCAGGAGGATGGAAAGTCTGAATCCTACCTAGGGAATTTAGAGACTTTGTCTTTAAAAAGGCTGGTAATGTAGTTCAGTACAAAGGTTCTGGGTTCAGTTCCAATTTCCAGGGGGATAAAAGTGCACAAAAAGTTTCCATAATGAGCTGAATTTGCCTCTGGAGGCTCTGTATCTCGTCCTCCACGTTCACCTCCCATGAGAAACGTTCCCTAATCCACATGGGAGCTGGGACCTGGAGGTGGTCACCTTTGAGCAGAGGCTTGTTTGGGCCACCCTGGCCAAGGCTGGGTAGGACACGTGAACAACTTACCTCCAAAGATCCGCCCAGGGACACTAGAAACAAGCTCAGGGGACAACAGGGACCAACTCCAAACAAGTTACACCAATGAAAGAAGACAACACAAAACTCCTGTGTTGTGAATTCCATTTATACCAAAGGTCCAGAATAAGCAAAGCCTGAGACAGGAAGTAGCATCGGGGTTGCCACGAACAAGGAGAAATGGGATTTCTTTTGGGGATGGTGGAAATGTTCTAAAACTAAATAGTGGTGATGGTTGCACCTACCTGTGAATATAGTAAAAGCCACTGGATATAGTTTGTTTGTTTTTTTTAATTATTGGGGCAGGTCTTCCTATGTAGCCCAGGCTGGCCTAATAACTCATGGATCCTCCTGCCTCAGCCTCCCAAGTGCTGGGATTACAGACATGCACCACCACATCCAGCTGGATTACACATTTTTGTAACAAAATGGTTTTATGTTGTTTGTTTTGCACCAGAGATCAAACTTGGGTCCTTGCACTTACGAGACTGGCACCAGAACCACTGAGCTAAATCCCAGGCCCTGGATTATACATTTTTAAATACGCACTATTTAAAGGCTGAGGCAGGAGGATTTCTGTGACCATCCTGGGCTACATACTGAGTTAAACCAATCTAAACTATGTAAGAAGACCCTATCTCAAAAACAAATAATAAAAAAATTTTGTCCTGGTACTGAGGAATGAACACAAGGCTTTCACAACCTTTTTTAGTTTTTGAGTCTTGCTAAATTGCTTAGTTAACAAGGCTGGATTTGATCTTGCAATCATCCTGCTTCAGCCTCCTGAGTAGATGGGATTACAGATGTGCATCACTGTGCCTGGCATTATTGCTTTTATTTTTCTGGTGCTGGGGATTATTTTATTAACTCTTTGCCCCGAGCCACATTCTCAACCCTTTTCACTACTTTCTGAGACAATCTCACTGAGTTGCTATGTTTTCCAGGCTGGCCTCAAACTGGTGGTGACCCTTCTGTCTCGGTCTCCTGAGGGCTGGGATCACAGGGGCGTGACACCACACCAGGTCACACTCTTCTTCATTTAGGTGCTGCTACCTCAGGTAAAAGCTAGAGTCAGTGCCTCTGTGGACTCCGCGCAGCTAACAGCCGTCCCTAGTAGTGGGTCACTTGCCAGATCTTCAGCCCTAGTCTGTCGATCATGGCAGGACAGGGACATCTACACCTTGCTTGATGTCTTCATTTCTGTCAGTAGGCACCACGGGCATAAAATCCCAATTCAGCCAGGTGTGGTGGGGCACACGTATAATCCCAGCACTGGAGGAGGCTGAGACAGGAGGATCAGAGGATCACTGCGAGTTTAAGGCCAGTCTAGACTACACAGGGAGACCCTGTCTCTAAAACAAATTCCAAATCAGCTGTTCGCGCCCAGCCCTGACCTTACACCCAGCCCTGCTGTATACAGCATTACTGGGTTACCGGTGTACCTGGGATCAATGTGGGGCTGTTGGAAATACTCCACACTCCTTAGGGAAATAGCAGTGCTCTCACCGGTCATTCTGGATTATCTCAAGTACACAAAAGCATTTTTTTAAAAGGCAACACAGTAGGAATCCTTGTGTAAAGACTACTCTTGGGACAGCAGGGTTGATGCCTGAAGTTACTTCTTTTCGGGGGCTACTAGAGATTGAACCCCACTGCCTTCCGAACCGTGTAACTGCTTGGCAAAAGGCTAACAGGACAGATCTCGTGTCGGTGATGACAGCATCATACCACAGCCCACTTTTCTGGCATTAAAACCAGCTGTCTTCATCCAGTGAAAAAACCAAGCAATGGCGATGTTTGTTTTGCTCCCACCATAAAATATAGGCAAACATCTAATCTTTCTTCTCATATTTTTATGCTCAGAAATCTTGTACTGAGCCAGGACAAGTGGCTCACACCTATAACCCAGGATTTAGGAGGCAGAGGCAGGAAGATTCCGGAAGTTTGGGTCCCACCTAGACAACGTAGCAAGATCCTACCTAGAAAGAGAGGGAAAGAGAGAAAGAGAGAAGGGAGAAGGGGGGACCTGGGGATATAAACTCATACGAAGGCTCTGGGTTCCATTCCCAGTAGTACAAAAAAAAATTAAAAATTAAACCAGGCCGGGTATTTAGCTCAGCAGTGCCGCCACCTGCCTCAAAAGTGCAAGGTCCCGAGTTTAACCCCTGGTACCAAAAAAATTAAACATGTTAAATCCTTCATGCCAATGTATTACTGTACAGCATTTATAATAGTATTTTCGTGTATAATTTTGGCAAGACGTGAAATTTTAAAATTGACAAATGACAAATCCACTTAAAAATAGGTCAAATCCATTTGATGATGAGTTGAATGAACATAAGATAAACAATTAATAGGAAGAAATAATTCAACCAACTCTGAAAATTTAAATATTTTATTGAACAAATTAATATATAATAAATCATAAACACAACAGCTAAAACTTAAACAGAACTAAGGAAGCATATAAAACAGTTCAGAAATAAGCAAGCCTTGTTCACTTATGTGAAACTATGAAAAAACAATGAAATTATGCATCTTTTAGATCTTTATTTCCTACACTAAAGATTTCCACTAAGCTCAATTAGTCCATGAAATAGGACACTTTATATGTTTAAAAGACAAACTGATCTCAAACTCAAGGACTAACAAATATTGCAAAGGGATTATCAAAATCTTTGTGTATTTGTTTACAAAACTGCAAAGGCACAATAAAAAAATCTACCTGAAATTATTGAACCAAACACACATTACCTAATACTCAGCTTCAGAGATGGTCTCAGTTGGGTGTGGTGATGCACACCTGTAATCCCAGTACTCATGAAGCTGAGGCAGGAGGATCTCTGTGAGTTCCAGGACAGCCTGGTCTACATAGTGAGTTCAAGGTGTCAGCCTGGACTACCTAGGAAAACCTTGTGCAAAAAACAAAAACAAAAATGGGGGAGATCTAAAGAGTTTTCAATCCTATTTGTATACAAAGTTTTATACATAAATTATTTTTGTCAATATACTTTTTTGGGGGGCGGGTTTGAGACAGGTTCTCACTATGTAGTTGAGACTGACCTGGAACTCTCTATGTAGCCAAGGCTGGTCTCAAACTCACAGCGATCCTCCTGCCTCAGCTTCCCCAGTGCTGGGATTACAGGCATGCGCCTCCACACCCGGCTTATCAATATACTTTTAAGAAACTCCAAACCAGCCATCATTCCTTAAACTTCCTGTACTATACTGAAAATTAAGAAGACTTTTAATTAATTTCTAGGAAAATTATTAAGTAGAAGTGTCTAGGGAAATATCTCAAGGAAAGATAATAGAAAAATAATGTTTTTATTGTTGAAATTACAAATGTTTCTTTTGAATTTATGAAAAGTTTCAGTATTTGGCTCAGCACTTCTAGAAAGAGTTCCCCAATACTAATGTATGGACCGTTTTTGATATTGGTGATTGACCTCAGGGCCTTTCCACAGAGCTACATTAGTTCCTTTCTATTTTTTATTTTGAGACAGGTTCTGGTTAAATTGCCAGGGCTGGGGTAGAACTTAACAATCCTCCTGCCTCAGCCTCCCAGAGTGCAGGGATCACAGGTGTGAAACAGACACCGCCCAGCTTTTAATGGTTTCCCGCCCCCCCCCATTAAAAAATGACAGAATTCTATGTGCAGACAAGTAACCCAGATTTATTCTCCCCAGTAAATTCCCCTTTGAACCTAACATCAGCTTTCACCAAAAAGCTCTTCTCACCACTGTTTCTGAAGAAAAACTTGCAAGCAGCCTCCGGCCCTTGCTCGCCGTATTCATCTGAAGTCAGATTCTGTAGTTATTGGGGGACGCATTATTCTGAGGATTTGGAGAACTGTCCAAAGACACAGCACGGTTAGACCAAAGAATACACATCTGCCAACATCCAAGGCTGCTCTGGACACGGACATGGGGTGTATTCCACAACTATCCGGAGGCTCGGTGTGATCTGAGGCCGCTCTCTCGGTTACTTTCTCCAATGCTGGGCCCACCTTCGCAGTAAGGATGCAGACTTGGGAAGAGGACCAAAGCCTAGAATCGGCGACGGCAGGCGGCTCTGACAAATGAGCCCCATTAAAAAGTCAAAGCCACAAACCTATGCTTTCTCCAGCCCGAGCAGACTTGGGGAGACGCTCTGGGCCAGGATGTCCACATCAGCTTCCCCAGGGAGATTCTCCCACCATCTCTATGCACAACAGCCTTAAAGGAAACCCCACTGTGTCATGCGGAGACTTTCAGCTTCTTCTTCTTGGCCTTCAGCACAGGAGGAAGCGAAATCTTGAAGGCCGTCCTGAAAGGCCGAGGAACAGGTGAGCGCCCATGGCCCCGAGTGCGAGCCACCCGCCCGCCCGATACTTACTCACACGTGGTGCAGATGGGGCTGAAGTTGCAGAAAACTGCGAAATAAAACAAAGCAGATGGGTGAGACGCTTCCTACTGCGTCACCATGGGAGGGAGGCACGGCCCGGCCAGGACTTACTCGACAGACACACAGAGCACACGTAGCCGATCTCGATGAGGTTCCGGTGACAGAAGCAAGCCGCCCGGTAGTCAACATGAATCGGGGGCGGGAGGATTAACTGAGCTCTCTGGTCTTGATCAGGAAGAAAAACCCACTGTAAAAAATAAATGCTTAGTCTGGGGATGCAGCTCAGCAGCACCATGCCTGCCTCGCAAGTGCAAGGTCCTGAGTTTGATCCCTGGTACAAAAACTAAAATAAAATAAACGAAGACAGGAGACCTTGACATACAACACGGGGAAAAAAGTAACCAAGGGTCAAAACACACATAAACATGAACACATCACTAAGTCAAGAGTCTCCTTGCCGAGTGCTGGTGGCCTGTGCTATATTCCTAACACTTGGAAGGCTGAGGCAGGAGGACTGCGTGAGCCCAGGAGTTTAAGGCCAACATGGGCAAAAAAGTGAGACCAACAAAAAAATTCTTAAAAGTCTAGGCTTCCCGCCCCCAGTACTGAGGATTGAACCCAGGGTCTCTGTAATGAGCTACATCCCCAAGTTGGGCTGAATATTGTGAGATCCTCCTGCCTCAGCCTCCCAGAGTCCTGGGATGATGAGTCTGCACCATTCCTGGTGAAGAAAAGCATTTTTATTCATTCAACATTTACCGAGCAGGTACACATACTGTACTATGTTAAAACCAGTCATACACCACTCTGTACAGCCTATAGAGAGAGTGCAAGGACCAACTGACGCCCACCCTTCAAAGGCACAGATTCTCCCCACCCTGAAGCCCCACACCACTGGTACCACCGTCCTGTCCTTACCAATAAATACTGCAGCAGGGATGGCATCTGGGGCACCTTGAGGTACAGCCCTCCTGTGATGTCACAAGCCTGCAAGACACAGAGGCGCTGCCACAGGGCTGCGGGGCACGGGGCCAGCCGAGCTCGGTGCAGGGCACGTGTGAGGCAGTGAATGAGGCTGGGCGATGTCACAGGCTGTGACCCCCATCAAGGGGATTTCTCTGGGGAGGCAACACAGACGCAGGAGTGCAGGAAGGCAGGGACAAGCCGTTGAGCACCCGAGGGCAGTAGGCAACAGGAGCACAACATCGCCTGTGTCCTCAGACCACGGAAGGGATCCCTGGACCCCAGTGTGTGAGATCCAGAAGCGTGTGCGTGTGTCTGTGTGTGTGTGTGTGTGTGTGTGTGTGTGTGTGTGTGTGCAACGAGCAGCAACATGATCGCATCTGATGTGCAGAGAGGTGCAGCTTTGGCGGGAGGAGCGAGTGTGCAACAGGAGGCAGCTGTCTAGCTTCTGCAGCCCCTGCAGGGAAGGCCGGTGCAAGATTCGAGATTTGCTGGTAGACTGAAGGGAGGGCAAGACAGTCAGGCCTGGGCTCGACCCAGTGGACCGCTCTGCCACCTAGGAGACAGGGAAGGTGGCCCTGGGAGGCAGAGGCTGCGTGCAAAAGCAGAACTCTGTGCATGCCCAGCAAGCTGCAGACACAGGCAGGATGTGCAAGAGAAATCACTGCGCCTGCACAAGGCTGCCGCAGAGCAGGGGCTGGGCCGCCAGAGACAGACACAGAGGGCTGCGCAGGCGCAGAGCAGGCTTTCACAATCCCGCCAGAAGAAGGCTGCAGTTAACTGCATAGACAGAAATGTGCGGCTAAAACCTAGTCAATCGTGTTGGTTTTTAATACTGAAATATAATCGTTTATGTAAAAGGATATATAATGTGTAAAATGGCTTAAATAACAAAATGAAAATATATCACTTAGTATGATCTGCTCATTACACGTTGCATACCTATGTAGATATGCCCCACTGCACCCCACAAATATGTGCAATTACGATGCATCATTAAAAATAAAATCTATTTTAAAAATAACAAAAGAGCTAGATGTGGTGGCACACACCTGTAATCTGGAAGGCTGAGGCAGGAGGATCAACATAAGTTTGAGGCCAGTCTGGGCTATGTAGTGAGTTCAAGGCCAGCCTCGACTCTATATAGTGAGCCCCTGTCTCAAAAAACCCCCAAATCAGAGAGCCACGCCTTCTCCCGCCCCAGCCGCCATTGCTCAAGCGCTGGGAAGATAGCTGCGCGGGCGTCCCTGAACCCCCATAAGTCCCCCCCGCACACGCACTCTCAGACCTCCTGACTGTGCAAGTCTTTGGACCCACGCTGCAGAGGCAGAGGTGGTCATCAAGGGTATATTTCTGAGTTCCCAACTTTGAACATCTTTAAAGAAAGTTGCATGGGAAACCTATAAGAGAACGTTGTGGAGTTCAACCATTCAGAAAGTTGGGGAACTCAATCTGGGCCTTGCAGCCCTAGGTCAGTCAGCGTCACGGGGTTCAGCCATCAGCTAACTGAGACCAGGGGTCTTGCATCCTCACTCTGTCTGAGCCATTAAATGGTAAATACACTATATTGAAATTTTGTTCACTGAAGACATGTTCTGGACTGCTTCTTGATTTCAATTTAATTCAAATGATTTAAGGGTGATAGACTAGTGACTACCACAGGTGGTCAGTGTCCAAGTAGTGCTTGATCTTAATGTGTTGCTGATTGTATCAGTTGGGGTAAAGCATTGTGGTTGATTTGATGAGCTGTTTTCTCTGATGTTTTGAAGATGAGAATGTCTGTGGGTCATTAGAGACACAAAAGCTAGGGCACAACTATATCAGGAAGATTTGGGTGATCATCCAGAGATTAAACCAAGGACAGTCCGACAACAAAAATAAAAATGAGAAAACACTTAAGCAAGACACAAGGACAGACTTCCAGTTCACCAATGGCAAACAGTAGGGAAAATGAGGATGAAAAGGCCGATAGGGAACCACCAGGATACCCTGAACTGAAAGCATAGGAAGTAACAAAACAGATCAATCAGGCTCTAGAAAAATTCAAAACAGAAATAATTTCCCAGATAACCACAGAAATAGTGAGCAAAATGGAAGTCGCGATTCGAGACTCTAGAGCAGAAACTGACAAAAAAATAGATGAGCTCAGGACCATGATAGAAGCCATGAAGGCCCAGCATAAGAAAGAAATGGAAAAAATAAACGCCCAACATAGGAAAGAAATGGAATCCATAAAACAGATTCAAACAGATATCCAGGAGATTAAACACTCCATAGAAAGTGTACGCAACAGAATAAAAGAATGCAAAGATAGACTCTCAGATGTAGAAGATAAGATTGCAGTCAGTGACCATGAAAAGAGAGATCTCTTAAAAACAGTAAGGGATCATGAGAAATCGATCCAACAACTCCTAGATGATGCAAAGAAGAATAACATAAGACTGATAGGAATACATGAAGTAGCAGGAGAAAATACAAATGACTTTAAAAAGCTGTTCGCAGAATTAATGACAGAAAACTTCCCAAACAGAGGGGAAGAATTTGACATTCAGATAACTGAGGCATATGGGACCCCAACTAGCTACAATCAAAAAAAAAATCTACACCTATACATATAATAATCAAGATCCCAGAAACCCAACAGAAGAACAAAATACTACAAGCAGTAAGAGAAAAGAAACAAATCACATACAAAGGAAAGCCCATCAGAATCACAGCAGACTTTTCAACACAAACCCTTGGGGCAAGGACAGCCTGGAATGAGATATTTCAAGTACTAAAAGAGAACAACCTCCAACCTAGACTGATGTATCCAGCAAAACTCTCTTTCAAAATGGATGGGGAAATAAGACACTTCCACGACAAAGAACACCTGAGAAACTACATGAATACCGAACCAGCACTACAAGGAATTCTAAACAAGATCCTAGAAAAAGACAATGAAGGCAACAACATCATGAGGCCCAACAGAGCAAATCAAATAGGCAAGGCAAGAAATTAAAAGGAGAAGGTGAAAAAGTAAAAAGTCAACAAAAGGTTAATAACATGTCAATAATAAGTCAGTACATATCAGCTATAATCAGCAATGTCAATGGCCTCAACTCACCAATCAAGAGAAATAGACTGGCAAAATGGAATAAGCAGCAAAATCTAACAATATGTTGTATACAAGAAACACACCTAGTGCAAAAAGAAGCCCATAGACTGAAAGTGAAAAGACAGAAAACAATTCTCCATGTGACAGGAGCCCAGAAAAAAAAAAAAAAAACAGGAGTAGCAATCTTATTTGCAGACAAAGTAAATTTCAAACCAAAACTGATTCTAGTATTACTGATGTAGGATGGTACTGTATCATACCTCTATGAATGTAAAATATCTTGTACCTGCTTTATGATACATAGTGGGGACTGTGCTTTATCAGAGTCACATTTAATGATATTACTCTAGAATGTTCTCTTTCCAGATGATGATTAAGATGCTAATAAAAAAAATGGTGCCAGGTACCACAACAGCAACAGAACTTTGCTGTTTTCTGGATATTATTCTTTTGGGTTTTTTTGTTTTGCTTTTTTTTTTTTTTT